GGGGGTAATGGGTTCTTTACGCAGGGCTGGTGGTCCAACTTCTGAATTATACCAGAAAGAATTATTACTTGTTATAAATAACTTTTTTATCAGTGACAAACTGAGTGATATATACCGTCAAAAGCTAAAAGAACATTTTCCTTTTTTTAATCTGCTGTGTGGCCAACCTTCGCTGAATCCTTCATTCAATAAAACGCCGGCTAATCATACAGGCTATGGTATATTCACCCGGCTATTCATTTGAATGTGCGTAATGTATACTGGAACAACTTATTTTTCTCAACGTTCTACTTTTAGTTTATTAGCCTTTTCCTATCGCTTCTTTCGATTCAGGGCTCATGTTGACCGTTGCATTTTAATAGAATCAAAAAGTTTCGAATGCATAGAGATCTCAGAAGGACACAGTTTGGTCAAGAATAAATTTCAGTACATCAACATAGTGTAACGTTTTAATTCAGAGCCAGACTAACGGATCATTTCATGTCTAACAAACAGGTAGCTCAGAGTACGAACCTTATTTAGTGAATTCTTATTATCTGATCATGAAATGAGCGTTCTTGAAACAAATACTTAAAAAGAAAGAAACTGTTCGTTGCTTTGGCGGACAAATAAAACGCCCAGCTAAATATCAAGGTTATTTTAATTTCGGTGAGAGGAGCGTTCTTGAAACAAATACTTAAAAAGAAAGAAACTGTTCGTTGCTTTGGCGGACAAATAAAACGCCCAGCTAAATATTAAGGTTATTTTAATTTCGGTGAGTGGAATTGGAGTGACTTCGGTCAAATAGTTCAAATTTCGAAAAATAGTTTAAGTTTCGAAAGTTCTGGAATTTTTGTCAAATAGAAAGCGCCAGTTATAGCACACTTTAATCGTAAAATCTTTTGTAATTTCCACAGCTAGATATTTAAATATTTTTCCATGATTGATAAAAAAAAAAACATATTTTCGATCTGTTTACAGTAAACAGTCCTAAAGGCGCGCTAGTACCGATCAGTGGTACTTATTCGTTGATATGTTTCGGACATCGGCCTTTTCAGCCATCTTGTTCTTTTTTGTACAATCGTGTGATAGATTTGGTATGTTTTTGAAAATTGTCCACGCCAACGACATTCACAACTTCTTTGCGATATTTATTCCTATAACATTGCTTGAGACGCAGACGAATGCTCTTCTAACTCTTATAGCTGTAATGTCAATGCTGTCTGTAGTAATACTCATGCATCTTACCCTTGCACATGAAAAGCTGAATATGCTGGAGATGGCAGATCTTGCAGTGGTACGTTAGTTTGTGGTAAAGGTGTTGCATGTTTTTGTTCTCAGTTTAATTAATTATGTTACTAAGTGTGGGTAATCA